GTGTGTGTGTGTGTGGTGTGTGCGGTGGGTGTGTGTGTGTGTGTGTGTGGTGTGTGTGTGTGTGTGTTGTGTGTGTGTGTGTGTGTGTGTGCGTGTGTGTGTGTGTGTGTTGTGTGTGTGGTGTGTGTGTGTGTGGTGTGGTTGTGTTGTGTGTGTGTGTGTGATGTGTGTGTGTGTGTGTGTGTGTGTGTGTGTGGTGTGTGTGTGTGTGTGCTGTGTGTTGTGTGTGTGTGTGTGTGTGTGTGTGTGTGTGTGTGTGTGCGTGTGTGTGTGTGTGTGTTGTGTGTGTGTGTGTGTGTGTGTGTGTGTGCGTGTGCGTGTGCGTGTGTGTGTGTGTTATACTCCGTTTTGAAATGGGGTAACATTTGACCCGTTTCCAAATGATTTTATGTCGAGATAAAGGTTTATTTTATGTTCGTGCCAGAAACATATCATGTACTCCAGGGGTCGGCAACAGGCGGACCGCGGTCCGGATCCGGACCCAGACGCCGACCTATACGGACCCGGACCTATAATCAATACATTAATAGGGGATTTCAATTTTGACGGGGCGATTCTATTTTAACCGCTGCCGACAGGGGGCGAAAGAGACGAGTGAGCGATACAGGGAGAGAAACACAGAAGAAGAGACGAGAGAGCGATACAGGGAGAGAAACACAGAAGAAGAGATGAGAGCGCGGCAGAGAGAAGCGGAGAGGAAAGTGAGTGAAGAGAAGAGTTAGCGATACAGGGAGAGAAGACGGAGAGGAGAGTGAACAGGCGTGTTAGCGGCAGACAGGGAGAGACAAATAATGACACATGGCGCTCTCCAAGAAGAGGATAGTGGACAGTGAGAACAGAGCTTTTAACCCTGAGTGGACTCATTCATGTTCATCCTGCCCACTGGGAGCACAGAGCCAGTGTGTCTCATTTGTTCAGAGACCGTGGCGCTCATTAAAAGTGCCAAAACGCCACTATGAGACAAAACACAAAGTGTTTGACCAAACATTCCCTCTCAAGTCAGAACGGAGGTCACAAAAAATAAGCAGTCTCAGAGCCCAATATGATCAGTCCACCAGGACCAAAATTAAAACTAAATGTGGTTCCAGGGCAGGCTAACCGAGGCTAACCAATGAGCACCTGCATGTGTGTATGAGAATGGCCCTGACACCATTTCAGCCCAGATCTAAACTCCTGGCAGGACAAGCTCCAGCTCAATTCTCGCACTGAATTAAAGAAAAGTGAGTGAGGGACTGCAATATAAGAGGGAAAGAAAGAGAAACTTTAAAAACTGTTCAATTGTTATGATGTGTGAAGACTGATATGTTCTATAATCGACTGAAACTGTTAGGTCATGATGTGAAACGGTTAACAAAGAAAAAGGGAAACTCAAGCTGCTGCTACACTTTATTTTATTTATCTAGAATTAAGCACTTTTAAGATGCACATATTTTCAAAAGCTATTTTATTTATTTTCTCTATTTTATTTTTAAATGCAGCCAGAGAGGAACATTACACATATCCACAGTATTTACTGTATATCTGTATAGTTCAATGTTAATTGACAATAAATATTGTTGTTTATGAATTGTACTTTCTTTAGTACTTTTCAGTTGTTGATTACATGCAAACGTTGATAAAGCTACAGGCTACTTCAATATATATCACACTAATTCATAAAGCAACTTAGACATGTTGATGTTCCGGACCTTTGCATGGGGACATTTTCTCTAACTGGACCTCGTTGAATTTTAGTTGAATACCCCTGATGTACTCGTATACTACGTTTTGCGAGAAAATAATTATGATCACTTTCATTAGGTTTTGGGTTTAATTCAAATATAAAGCATCTGGGGTCAATTTGGTAGAATGAATCAACATGTGTGTTTTTTTAAACTCAGAAATGAGGTTTGAATTTGTGTAAATGAGGTTTATTGACCGTACATTTAGAAAAGAAGAGTAACTTTTAAATCTGAATAAAGTTAGCTCAAAAGGTGTTACACAGATCTGAGTAATTATTTATACTATGTGCTTTATGAACAGAAGATGCTCAGTTGATAGGACGACAACACAAGGGTTAAAATATTATTATTAATACTACAGCGTTACTAAAAGTCGTGCCTTTAAAATCGCACCAAAGTAGAAGTATTCATACATAATACGGTAATACAAGTATTTAATTTGAACAATGGTCCATTTAAAATATATATATATATATTACATAATTGTACATGACTATTACTTTTAAAAAATGTTCAAGGTGCAAGTTTTAAGTTCTCATGATATCGTTTTTATTAAGTTATAGGTGAGATACACGGGTCATTTTACAATAGATAGATAGATAGATAGATCGTACTTTATTGATCCCAAATTGGGAAATTGTTTTTGTTACAGCAGCATAAAAGGCATTTTACAATAAAACAAAATATACAAGAATAGAAATAAAATAAAATAAAATATAAAATAAAATATAAAATATACATGTCAAAATACAAAATAGAAATATACATACAGATATTATATATATATATATATATATATACAAATATACAAATATATATATATTAATACTTGTTCCTTTAGGGAGATATGTTAGTTGATGATCCTACTGATGTCACCTTTTTTAATGTAGGTTGCCCCCCCCCCCCCCCCCCCCTCGGTGGTATTCTTCCTTAAAGTCTGTGTACATCTCCTCAGGTTCACGTACTGAGTTACTGCAGTTGAGTGAAGTATCTGTTGTATTTTTCCATCACTGTAGTTACTGAGATGTGCCTGCAGGGGGCGTGAGAGCACATGTTTTTATCAGATGCAGTTTTTACCTCACGCTGCTGCTGGTTTGTATTTTCACTTTTTATTTGTGTTGAGTTTCATTATAAGGTAAATAATCACAAGTTGCATTTCCACTTTTTATTCTGCTGCTGCTCCGCAAACACAACAAAACATAACTGTCAGAAAAGCACCGTGAAAAAACTCTTTAAAGTAGAGACACTACATACTGATATACACCTGAACATCAGCAGGAGAGGACTCTTTAAAGTAGAGACACTACATACTGATATACACCTGAACATCAGCAGGAGAGGACTCTTTAAAGTAGAGACACTACATACTGATATACACCTGAACATCAGCAGGAGAGGACTCTTTAAAGTAGATACACTACATACTGATATACACCTGAACATCAGCAGGAGAGGACTCTTTAAAGTAGAGACACTACATACTGATATACACCTGAACATCAGCAGGAGAGGGACTCTTTAAAGTAGAGACACTACATACTGATATACACCTGAACATCAGCAGGAGAGGACTCTTTAAAGTAGAGACACTACATACTGATATACACCTGAACATCAACAGGAGAGGACTCTTTAAAGTAGAGACACTACATACTGATATACACCTGAACATCAGCAGGAGAGGACTCTTTAAAGTAGAGACACTACCTACTGATATACACCTGAACATCAACAGGAGAGGACTCTTTAAAGTAGAGACACGACATACTGATATACACCTGAACATCAGCAGGAGAGGACTCTTTAAAGTAGAGACGCTACATACTGATATACACCTGGACATCAGCAGGAGAGGACTCTTTAAAGTAGAGACATTACTTCTACACCGCCAGTATTACATTTATTTGACAGCTTTAGTTACTTTGCATATTCAAATTATACAAAATATGAATCAACCAAAGTAAAGTTTTGAATGCAGGAGTTTTATTTGTAACAAAGTATTTCTGCACAGTAGTATAAATACTTTAGTACAGGATCTGAGTACTCCCTCAACTTCTGCTTGTACTTCTATTTCGAGTATAGTAACACTTTGCAAACTGTAGCCTATTATATATATTTGTACTTTAACTTGAGGGAAACTTTTACCTGTAACGGAGTATTTCTAATACTTTTATTTAACTTTTATTTCGGATCAAGTAAGTTTTTCTCTCCGCCGCGTCACGCACCTGCCCAGCTTTAAGCCCCGCCCCCCCCCCTCCATATCTAATAAAACCCCCGGAGACCGGAAGACCTGTCACTGTGAGCCGAGCCTCCTCAGAACTACTTTCTCACACGGAGGGGATTTAAAACCACATCACACCCCCTCCCCAAAAACACCGCGAGCGTCTCCGCGGACGCTCCTGCTTTTAGTGCGCGTGCAGCTCCATGGAAGTGGCCGGATTCTACGACGAGGAGGGCGGCTTCCGCAGAGACCCCCCCCAGCAAACCCCCCTGCACCCCGGCCCCTGGAGGCTCGGAGACCCGATGACGGAGCTCGAGGAGCGGGAGAGAGCCATCGACTTCAGCGCGTACCTGGAGCAGCAGAACCAGAACCAGAACCAGCAGAACCAGAACCAGCAGGACGTGTTCTCAGACTTTCTGCTGGAGAACAAGATCAAGAGGGGGGTCTCGGCTCTGCACAAGAACTACTCCCTGCTGAACCAGCTGGAGGACCCCCAGCGGGACCCTCAGCATTACGCGCACCTCGGGTACGCGGAGCTGCAGGACACGCGCATGGATAGCGTGCTGAACCCCGCGAGCCGGTACCGAGAGGACAGCCGCGAGGACGGGAAGATGGAAAACGGGTCTTCGGGGTTCGATATGCGGTCCTACATCCACTACCAGCAGTCCGCCAGCGGCAGCATGGGGAACCTCTCCAGCGCGTCCTCCTCCTCCTCCTCCACCTGCTCCAGCCCCACCAGAACCGCTCAGAGTTCGGCTGCAGGGGGCGGGGAGGTGTCCAGCAGCATGAAACCCAACAAGAAGAAGCGGCTGGACAAGGACAGCGACGAGTACCGGGTCCGGAGGGAGAGGAACAACCTGGCCGTGCGGAAGAGCCGAGACAAAGCCAAGATCCGTAATCTGGAGACGCAGCACAAAGTCCTGGAGCTCGCGGCGGAGAACGACCGGCTGCAGAAGCGCGTGGAGCAGCTGTCGCGCGAGCTCGGCACCCTGAGGAACCTGCTGTCCGCCACCGGGACCTGCTAGAACCGGGACCGGGACTCGTCGGGACTCTAGAGACACGGTACACGGGTTTTACACGGACACTATGGATGGGACGCATGGATTATTGCGCACGGATTATTATTGCGCAATTCTTCTCTGACTGTTCACATGTTCTCCTCAGATGTCGTGTGTGCGCGCGTGTGTGTGTGTGTGTGCGCGTGTGTGTGTGTGTGCGCGTGTGTGTGTGTGCGTGTGTGTGTGTGTGTGTGTGTGTGTGTGTGTGTGTGTGTGTGTGTGTGTGTGTGTGTGTGTGTGTGTGTGTGTGTGTGTGTGTGGACATCAGGAGGGGCAGAAACTGGACTCTAGCAGCGTTACATTTGAAGTGCATGGAAATCAGGTTATTGCGCAATCCTCTCCTCAGATTGTCCACATGTCTCCTCAGATGTCTTGTGTGTTTGTTCGTGGCCATACATGCAGGATTTTATAAATACCGAGGTCCTGAATCGACCTGTTATAGGGGGGGTTTTGGGGCATGCACCCTCCAATGTTTTTTTTCTTAACATATGTGCTTTTTAAGACATTTGGACGGAGGGCGAAAAGGGAATGAAATGTCAGTGTGCAGCATCGCAACTCAACTTGAAGAAGTGATGCATCAAAATCAGGTTAAATATCCCATTGAATGATCCACGGTACAATCTGGAAAATGATCCCAAAATGTGTGAAAATCAATGTTTAATTGTAAGAAACGGTACAAATTCACACTACAGACACATTCCTTCAACCTGTGCTCAAACATGTGACCAACCAGCTGTTCTTCCCAGGCTGCACCTTATTAAAACCCCTGACATCCAATAAGACTTGATCGCCTTATAAACACCCCGAGAAAGAATACATGGCCCTCGGTGTGTGTGTTCAGTGTCTCTGTGATTCTCTTGTATCTGGAGCAGTGTGTGTCGGGGGAGAGTTTGTGCTGCAGTGAAATGATGCAACTCTCTGTAATAGTGTTGGCAATGAATGAAATAAGTCTTAATTATTTAATATTAAAAGGGGGACGGGGGGGGGAAATGCTGTAATTGTACTTGATATTTTATTGAATTAAACAGATTTATACTTTTGTCTAAAAAAAAAACCAGTTTTGTTTGTAATTTCTTCTTTTCTGACGTTTCCTGAAGCAGACGGGAGGGGCGACTTTAACACTCATCCTTTCAGGGTTTCAAACACGACACATTGCAGATAGAAAAGGTCCCGACAGTAAGGTGGAGTTTACATGTTGTGTAGATTACAGTGACATCAACGCTCTGGAGCGATGTGAGGTGATCTAAGGACGTGGAGGGATGTCATCAGCAAGATGAGAGTCTGCAGGTCATTTGATATTCTAGTCGTGAAAAAGTGAAACACGTCGATCCCGGTTGCTGAGATTCACCGTTAGAATAGATGTGCATGCATTCATGTCAGAAAGTGCTTTCTATTGAAAAGATCTGCTGCTTGTCTGTGTTTCATATCCCATCAGAGGGACCCTCTTCAGACACAACATGTTTACACCTGACAGAAACTGGATGGACATTTTTCACCATTTCTCGATCAATAGAGAAAATAATCAGCAGATCAGGTTTTTTTAAATGTCTTGTTTTGTCCAGAGATAATCCCTTTAATGTTTCAGATCGATTTCTGACTTCAAATCATATCTAATGATGACCTCATCTGACTAATCGACTCATTGTGCATCTCTAGTTTGAATTCTTTCATATGTGTTGTTACGACAGAGCCTCGAGCCACAAGCCTCCTCTGTGACTGAATATATTATAACATGAGGACGATTGGGTTAGTGTTTTTATACAGCACCCAGACCCTCAGACCCTCATAGCAGACCCTCATAGCAGACCCTCATAGCAGACCCTCAGAGCAGACCCTCATAGCAGACCCTCATAGCAGACCCTCATAGCAGACCCTCATAGCAGACCCTCATAGCAGACCCTCATAGCAGACCCTCATAGCAGACCCTATAGCAGACCCTCATAGCAGACCCTCATAGCAGACCCTCATAGCAGACCCTCAGACCCTCATAGCAGACCCTCATAGCAGACCCTCAGACCCTCATAGCGCCGGCCTGTCAGCCGACTCACTGAGTGATGCAGAACCCCGAGACACAAATCTGCTGATTAATTTCCCTTTTGCTCTGAAAATAGCGACGGCTGTTCTCTGCAGTCTCTGCTGGTTCTTCAAATGTCTGAGAGTCTGAAAGAGAGTCTCTTCAGAGTGATATCAAACTCAGAGGAGCAGCAGCTCTCCTCATTGCAGACGCTACCTGAAAGCCACTGTAACGATGACTCAATCAGAACTTGTGCTTATTTAGTTTTCATTATTTAATACTTATTGTTTCAGAAAAACCCCTTCCCTCCGTGCGTTCAGCCACAAGCCTCCTCCTCCTCCTCCTCCTCCTCCTCCTCCTCCTCCTCCTCCTCCTCTGGTACTGAATGTAAAATGAGGAATAATATGTAAAATGGTGTTTTTTTTATATCCATCACAACAAAGTGACTTTCAATCAGATGCCCGTTCCTCTCGTCTCTCCAAGATTCTGCTGATTTCATTTCTCCTTTTAGTCGTGACATCGTTGACAGACGTCTCTGAAAGCTCCTCAAATGTGTAGTCTGAAGATAATCACTTTAATATGTATGGGTGTGGACCGGAGCAAGTCTCCTCGTTTGAGTGCTGACTTTCTTCTGTGAAAATGTATTTATATATAAAATCCTGATTTTACCACTCCTGACTGTTAACTAACTCGGTTCTTTTGCTCACTGAGAGAGCCTCAGACCCTAAAACAAAGTTGATGATTCTGTTCTCCTTAATCAGATAGTTCTGTCTCAAGATACCCTCTTCAGTACGAGAGAAAAGCAGCACATTTTAGAACTCTTTCTGACATCATTGGCAGGAAAAAACACTCAGACAGTTCATCTATCACAGACCGTTTTGCAGTCATTTAACGTTAATGTTAATTCTGGCATCTCTATTTATGACCTTTCATATTTGTTGTTTCCACAAAGTTTCTAAAGGTGTTGGAAAGTCAGTCGTTATAAGGATGTGTGTGTGTCATGGATATAGAAGAACAGAGGAGGCGTGTTGCTGAACACAGAATGAGGGTTTATATGATTAGTGTTTTTATATATCCATTACACACAAAGTGACTCCCCAAGGCAAGGCAAGGCAAGGCAAGTTTATTTATATAGCACCTTTCAACACAAGGCAATTCAAAGTGCTTTACAAAAATGGAAGACATTAAGAAAATGGCATTAAAAATCAGTCATTAAAAAGAAAAGATAATAAAATAAACATTAAAAGAAAAAATACATGGATAAAAGTTACAGTGCAGTTTAAGATGTGAATAGTTCAATTAAAAGCAGCGGCAAAAAGAAAAGTCTTCAGCCTGGATTTAAAAGTAGTAAGAGTTGCAGCGGACCTGCAGGTTTCTGGGAGTTTGTTCCAGATATTCGGAGCATAATAACTGAATGCTGCTTTACCATGTTTAGTTCTGACTCTGGGGACAGAAAGCTGACCAGTCCCTGAAGACCTGAGGGTTCTGGATGGTTCATAATTTAGCAGTAGGTCAGACATGTATTTTGGGCCTAAACCATTCAAAGCTTTATAAACCAGCAGCAGTATTTTGAAATCTATTCTTTGACACACAGGAAGCCAGTGTAAGGACTTCAGAACAGGAGTGATGTGATCCACTTCTTAGTGTTAGTGAGGACTCGAGCAGCGGCGTTCTGAATTAGCTGCAGCTTTCTAATAGATTTTTTAGTGAGACCTGTAAAGACACCATTACAGTAGTCGAGTCTACTGAAGATAAAAGCATGGACAAGTTTTTCCAAATCCTGCTGTGACATTAGTCTCCCCAGCACTCTTCTGTAAGCTCTCCCTCCCTTCCTCCGTGAGTCCTGGGATCCTAAGCGCCTCAGATGCGTCCTAAGCGCCTCAGATGCGTCCTAAGTGCCTCAGATGCGTCCTAAGCTCCTCAGATGCATCCTAAAGCCTCAGATGCGTCCTAAGCGCCTCAGATGCGTCCTAAAGCCTCAGATGCGTCCTAAGCGCCTCAGATGCATCCTAAAGCCTTAGATGCATCCTAAAGCCTTAGATGCATCCTAAGCGCCTCAGATGCGTCCTAAGCGCCTCAGATGCGTCCCAAAGCCTCAGATGCATCCTAAGCGCCTCAGATGCATCCTAAAGCCTCAGATGCGTCCTAAGCGCCTCAGATGCATCCTAAAGCCTCAGATGCATCCTAACGCCTCAGATGCATCTTCAAGCCTCAGATGCATCCTAAAGCCTCAGATGCATCCTAAACCCTCAGATGCATCCTAAAGCCTCAGATGCATCCTAAAGCCTCAGATGCGTCCTAAAGCCTCAGATGCGTCCTAAAGCCTCAGATGCATCCTCAAGCCTCAGATGCATCCTAAAGCCTCAGATGCATCCTAAAGCCTCAGATGCATCCTAAAGCCTCAGAAG